TGATCACATGAGGTTGCTTAAGGACCATACCAGTGGTTTTCTACACTACCTTTCTCACTAGCAGGAACCTGCCCTCACTAAGAGCCAATGAAACTACAGTATAAGGATATTGAATGGTTGCATATACTTAGTTGCTTGTACGCTTGACAGCTTTGGAGAAGGTTAAGGAGGTCCATGCCACTCTTGGGCACTGGTAGACCCCCAGCAGAGACAGAATAGAGGGAAAAAGATTAGAATTGGGGGGTAACAAAAACATAAGCAGAAGTATGGCGGTTTCAGTAAGTTTACGTGAGTGTAGTTCAGTTTCTCTTTATGTAATGAGAAACCTTTCTCATTATAACAAGATACTTTGCTCAATTTTATGAAATACTTTCATGTTAAAAGATTTTTCATGCTAATTCGACGTACTGTATTTTCTCATAATAATGTGACCCCTGCACAGCTTGGAGTAAGTGCAGCATGCACATTGTCTTTGAACAGCACCTCTGTAGCTCATTCAGTTCAGATGGCTCTCTGATCAACACCCTCCCAGACCAGCTTTCCACACAATGACCAATGTCTCTGACCCATTAAATGATAGGAAATGAAACCAAATATGACAGAGCACAGTTTGGAGATGTAAAGAGGGACAAACAGCACAACTGCCTGCCAGAGGCTGGAGAGAAATCATTCATATTTAAATGAAGTGGTCATGGCAACTCACAGCTCTCAGGTATGAGGCTGGCCCCATGGTCATCCAACTCTGTCCCCTCCCCCTGTTCCTACACCCGTCTATAGAGGCCATACACGGACATTTTGGGGGACACATGCCCAACTTTAGAAAAAGGGCACCCTTCTCACTGACAGTTATTTATTAAAACCTACAGTAGCACATAATTTATTCACCTGTAGGTATATATTAAGAAACAAATACACCCATGCAGATATTTATAAAAATATCTGTTCACACAAAGACCATGTCTTTACCAGACTACTAACTATTTGTAAAACTATGTGGTGACAGCCATTGCATTATAAAGGTTAGCCCCATCAGACTGTAACCGCCAGTGGCTCCGCTACTTTTTCTGCTAATTTTAATGGAATGTTTGTCATTTGGCAATGTTCTAATAATGTTTAATTTCATTTCATTTCATTTATTTGTTTATATAGCGCTTTACAACACCCAAGGGTGCTCAAAGTGCTTCACAGCAAAACATATAAAAATAAAAGCAGAACATATTTAGACACATAAACTAATGAAAAGGAAAATGTTAAAATTACACAAATTTAAAACCAATGTCTGTAAGCAACTATAAAACCCCTTTACAATAAAAATGTGTCAAAGTACAAACAGAATAAAATTACTAAATATAAAATCAGAAAGCCTGTAGTCACCTGTATAGCGCCACTGCTATAAATTAAGTGCCAAAAGCCAGTCTGAACAGGTTTCCCTTTAATTTAGACTTAAAAACCATTAACTCAGTTATAGACCGAAGCTCAGGAGGCAGGGTATTCCAGAGCTTGGGGGCATATAAAGCAAAAGAGTGATTGCCCCACTTTTTTGTACCTTGCCTGCGGGACAACCAGAGACAAATGCTCAGAGGAACACAGCGCTCTGAACGGGGTATGAATAATTAAAAGATCAGTCAAATAGGCTGGAGTAAGGCCATTAATGGCCTTGAACACACACACACACACAATAGAACCTTAAAATCAATGTGAGAATACTTTGGGGTATTTGACAGTAGGTGAGCAGCCACGTTCTGTACTAGTTGGAGTCTACGGAGGAGAGATTGGTTAATTCCAATATAGAGGGCATTGCAGTAATCAAGTCGCAAGCTAATGAAAGCATGAATGGCTTTTTCTAGGTCAACTCGAGATAAAAAGGGCTTCACCTTTGCTAGGAGCCTCATTTGAAAGAAGCTTACAGTCTTATGCAAAAGTTTAGGCACCCCTTGATAAATAACAGATTTTGGTGATTTTTTATTTGAACAGATGTTAACACAGTTTCTCTTGGAAATGGAAAAAATGCACAATATTTTCTGCAAACAGTGATGCATAGTTACTTCTTATGCCATAAATTGAACAAAAATAAAAAATAAAAACATGATTATGGCATGGTGCAAAAGTTTGGGCACCCTAAGAGTTCCAGAGTCTCAAAGTCTCTCACAAGGTATCAGACCTTAATCAGCTCGTTAGATCTGATGCACAGCAACAGCTGTCATTGGTAAATGCCAATTTCAAAGCTGTACAAATACTTTGACTCTTCAAACCTTGTGCACACACTTGTGGACACCCAGCAACCATGGGTTCCTCTAAGCAGCTGTGTAAGACCCTGAAAATGAAAGTTATTGATGCCCACAATGCAGGAGAAGGCTACAAGAAGATAGCAAAGCGTTGTCAGCTTGCAGTTTCCACAGTAAGAAATGTAATTAAGAGATGGCAGATCAGGGGAACTGTGGAGGTCAAGATGAGATCTGGAAGACCAAGAAAACTCTCGGACAGAACTGCTCGTATGCTGGTCAGAAAGACAAATCAAAACCCCCATTTGACTGCAAAAAACCTGCAGGAAGATTTAGCAGACTCAGGAGTGGTGGTGCACCGTTCCACTGTGCAGCGATGCTTGCACAGACAAGGCCTTCATGGAAGAGTCAGCAGAAGAAAACCTTATCTGCGTCCCCATCATAAAATCCAACGTCTGAAGTATGCAACAGGACATCTACAGAAGCCCGATGCGTTTTGGAAACAAGTGCTGTGGACTGATGAAGTTAAAATAGAACTCTTTGGACACAATCAGCAAAGGCATGTTTGGAGAAAAAAAGGAGCAGCATTTCATGAAAAGAACACCTTGCCAACTATTAAGCATGGGGGTGGATCTATCATGCTCTGGGGTTGTGTTGCAGCCAGTGGCACAGGAAACATTGCACGGGTGGAGGGAAGAATGGATTCCACTAAATACCAGCAAATTCTGGAAGCAAACATCACACCATCTGTAAAAAAGCTGAAGCTGAAAAGAGGATGGCTTCTACAACAGGACAATGATCCTAAACATACCTCGAAATCCACTATGGAATACCTCAAGAGACGCAGGCTGAAGGTTTTGGAATGGCCATCACAGTCCCCTGATTTAAACATCATTGAAAAAATTAAGTCGGGGGGGGCTGGCAGGGTGGGGGCTGAGGACTGGGTAGAGTCAAATCTATTAAAAAAACAGATTCAGTTCATTTGCCCAGGCCTTGGCCCCGCGACCAGGTGACCATCTCCACTTTTACCATGACCCGAGATGTGGTTGAGGCCTCTCCACACCTCATGCATGTTATTATTCTCCTTGCACCTCCAGATCATGTATTTTAGTTCCCGCTGCACCCTGCTCAGCTCCTCCTTGTCCCCTGAGAGGAAAGCCCTCTTCTTCTCATTTAGCAGTACTTTTAACTCGGGGCTCACCCACTGCTTGTTAGGAAAACACCGTACTGTCCTGGATAGTACATATTTTCCACACAGAAGTTTATGTAAAAGGTAGGTAGGTAGGGTAGGTAGATAGGTACTTTATTGATCCCTCAATGTGGAAATTTCAGTGTTTCAGCAGCAATAGAGAACAGACAGCATAACACCATGAGAACAAGCACCGCACACACATCCTGATAAATAAATTCCCCTGACTTGAGGTGACACCATTTTCACCACTGGAGTATACACAGGACGTAGGTGAACAAGGTTGTGTTCAGAGCGACCTAGAGGGGGAGGGGGGCGGAGGTGTACGCCCTCCTGGCATTTGCATACATTAGATCCAGAGTTTTATTGTCCCTTGTGCGGCAATTTACATACTGGGTGAAGTTTTGGAGGGTGGCCAAGAAGGGGAGAGAAGCATGGTTAAAGTCCCCCAAGATAAGAATTAAAGCCTGTGGATGTTGTGTCTATGGTGCTCAACATGCGCTGACATGTAGCCTCAGTGTTGGCCGAAGGATTAATGTACACCATCACCACAATCACATGGGAGTGCTCTCTAGCACGGGCGCCGTTAGGGGATGGGAAGGGGGGGTAGTTAGGACGATTCTAAGGGCCCACAGTCTGTGGGTAGAGGGCCCAACTTCAAATTTTTTCATAGGGCCCAAAACTGCTAGCGGCGCCCCTGCTCCCTAGGGATGTAGTATGGCCGTATGCTGACAGCTAATAGTTCAATGTCTCTGCTACTGAATTTTTCCTTAACAGTTATGTGTCCGGGATTGCACTATCTGTTATTAAAGTACACCGCCAAACCTCCACCTTTCCTCTTACCACAGTCAGCCGTGCGTCGATCTGCCCAAATTGTAAATCCTTGTAAGGAGACCACAGAATTTTGGAGTGTTGTTCTTCAGCCAGGTCTCGGTGAAGCATAGCAGGCTGCTCTCCCTAAACTCACGTTGCAGTCTCATTAGCCCTGTTAGCTCGTCCATCTTGTTGGAGAGGGACCGCACGTTACCCATAACGACAGATGGTAAATGTGGCTTATACCTCCGTTTCGTCTCCCGGCGCTTTATGCCGGCTCTGCAGCCCTGCATTGTACGCCATATTTCCGTGGGAATCTCCAGCTTCTCCCCGTGAGGTGGCTGGTCACTCCTGAGTGCTAGTAGTTGGCTTCAGGTGTAAACAATGCAACCGGCGTCTCCTGACTCCGGAGCTCGCAAAATAATAAGAGTCATAATGCAAACGCAGTAACAATTTGTACTCCTGGTAACACAGCACCACTAAGGACTACAGCAAGAGAATAACACAAAGCAAACACTGGAAAACTTAATGAAAACACGACAAGACCACAGCTGCTGAAACTTGCTACCACGCCAAGCAGCACATGCGTTGTTGTACTGCAAGTACTGTAATGACTACAGTCAGATTAAGTGAAAAAAGACTGAAATTTGAGTAGTCTGACAAAGAAGCTCACAAATTGTTTTGAAGAAACTGTTTTTCCTATGACCGTCCACAGAAAGTATATTCTCAAAATGACCCATGAAGTATCAACAAAACCTGAGCAGTGAAGTTACTGTTTAATTCACAGTCAGTAGTGCTGTTTAATTTTCATTATATTTATTAAATTAAATGTCTATTTTTCATGTTCCTCTCTTAACTAGTTAGTAGCCAACAGAGAGTGAGATTACAATATAGACTCAATATAAACTGTATAAACAATAGTAAATGCAGGACCAGACCGGGGCCTGTCTGATCTAGGGGGGCAGTAAAAAAGTCAACACATCTTTGTTTTAACTTTGTTGTGTTATGTCTTTGACCATTTGTTACTTAAAGCTGTCTTCTTAATGTTCTCCAGGCCACAGCCTTCGAGAAATGCTCATTTTTGTATTGGGTCTTACTGTAGCTGTTTGACACTCACTATGGGTGTAAGATTGTTTTTGAAATCCCTGGATAGTAAGAAAAATGTTTAGCACAGTTGCTTCATAGTGATTCAGTGCTTCAGAAAACTTAATTTTCTCCATCACTACACTAAAGTGCTAGGGAATCCTGGGAAAACATCAGGTTGAGAGGATCTAAGAGTGGCTTAACAGAAAAATTTCTTTGTGATGAACTGATCTAATTCTTGACCAAAATTGATTTATGTGAAGCCACTGCCCATTTACTGTTCTAGCAAAAGAATCAATTTGGTCCCATGAAAATAGTTTTTCATTATTTGTATTATTCATTATAGCACTCTTCTATTTCACCCTTCCTTGTTACTCACCACAGATTGTCTTTCTCCAGCTGCTGATTTGGATTCCTTTAGTTGCACAGGCATGGACATATGAGGAGACTGCAGCACACATACAGTCCTCACTTTTCTCACAGTTACAGCTGTCATACATGCAGTTCTGTGAGAAGACAAACAGAGTGAGGCTACAGCACAGGTCTGGAGAATGTTCACCTATAGCTCATAAATGTGTAAAAGCTGCGGCTGTGAGACTTACCTCTTTGTAAGAGTCAGGGCTGATTTCTGAGTGACAAGGAGCAAATACTCCCTGAGGATCACTTAGCATAGAGCACCAGAACTGGGCGAACTTCTCTGTCATTGACACACAAGGATTAACATCAGCCATTCTGATGAACCCACAGTGATAACAAAGAGTATAAATAATTCAGACCAACCATTATCTAGACTGAGACTGCAGGGGTTCTCAAAGTTCCTCTTAATGTCTGGGCAACCAGCATGTGTCCTCCAGCTATTGGCAAAACCAGCTGCTGTGGCATCTGGAACACCACTGAGCTTAAGGAAGTCATCAGCCTGGTTTTTGTTAAAGTTCCCACACAGACCTGCAGGCAGAAAACACCATGTTAGCCATAATCTATCACTGCATCTAAAACCAAATATTACCCCCCCCCCCCCCCCCCCACCCCACCCATTTGTTTTTAGTTTCATAACTAGTTTGGTTCATAATTCATTTGTCATTGCCAGTGTTGATGAAGTAAGAGGCATATGAACTGAATGCACTGCTAAAATGTGTGCTTCAGCCGGTAGATGGTAAGCCTACATTATACAGCGATCAGCCACAACTTTAGCAGCACTGGCAGGTCAGATGAATAAATATCACACCCAGAGTGGGGAGGCTGTTGAATTTGTTTAAGCAATTCTCTCTAACTCGTCCTCACGACCACAGTTTTCACTCCTTTTCTTCCTGACAGTAGAATTATGGAAGCAAACAGATTCACAGAAGATGCACAGTGAGCTGCAGAGTGACACGAGTGCCGACCAGCTGCTGCATAGACTCAGTATCGGTATCACACAGTATGTATACAGTATCAGGCAGGTGGTTGTGGAGGATTGGTGTATGCCAACTGGTGCCTGCCTGCTGAGAACTTCATGCCCCTTGCAGGAGTGAGCTCAAATAAATCAAAATATACCAGACACTATAGAGGCCATGTGCTGTTTAAAAATGATGTAATCTTCTTTTTTTAGGTTCATTAACTATGACAAATTATTTGCCTCTGTTCTCTAGTAAATGATGAAGAGCAACTTTGTTGCTCTTTTGCTCTTTATCTCTGTTTTAAGCAACTGATACAGTTATACTAAAATGTTATGGTAAAATAAGGTTATTAAATGGGGAGCATTGTCTGTTGATTGTTAAATTCATATGCACTGATAATGATGATAATTAGAATCCTGTTTCCATTTAACTTTAAGTGTTTAAGTGTTCTTACTGAGTGCGAGAGGACGATGTATTATTTGGTAGAACTGACTGGAGCTGCCAAGCAATGCACCATCTAATATTTCAGCTTAGGTCACTAGTAAATAATTAATTTCTGATTGTCAAGCCTAAATGGCAACGCATTGTTTATTATATGAATTCGTATATCTCCAAAAATAATTTTAAAATGTGGATTCAGAAAATTTCATTGTAGTACTGATTAGCTATTTGCTTAGCTATGCTCCTTTAAGCCTAGACTGCTAAGGGTCTTCCCATGATGCACTGAGTTTCTCCCCTCTCTTCTCCCCTCCTCTCCTTTCCTCTCTCCCTATGCATCTATATCCCACCATTACACATCACTAACTTTGTGTCTCCTCTCTCCCGTAGTGTGTCCTCTCTCTCTCTCCCTGTAGCTTTCTGCAGGTTGCCCTGGCGCTCTGTGTTTCTGATGAGCAGTCACCGGCCACATCGATCTGACCAGTGTTTGATTGTTTGTTGTGTCCTGTTGCTTTTCTACTTCTCTCTCTCCTCTATCCACTCACCCCAACCAGTCAAGGCAGAAGGCCGCCCACCAAGAGCCGGGGTCTGTCGGAGGTTTCTTCCATTAAAGGAAGTTTTAACTCCCTGCTGCTCAACTCAAGTGCTGCTCAGTGGGGTTGTTGGGTTTTCCTCTATAATAAAAATAGTAATGTCTAGACCTTACTTTGTAAAGTGCCCTGAGATGATTGTTGTTGTGAGTTGGTGCTATACAATACAACTGAATTCAATTAAAATGATTTTATGACTGTCAACATTTGCATCCCTTATTATTTTAGCCAGGAATACAGACATATAATTTTCTGTCATGCGAAAATAGAAAAAAATGTAGTGTAATGTTGAAAAAACGCATATTGATCTTAAAGTGTCTGAAAAGAAAGGTTTTATAATTTTAGCAGAGTAGATTATCTAGCTACTGAGATATGCATCTCACATTATTTTAAGTAGGAATACGTTAACATTAGAGTGTTTTTCCATTGCAGCATATGTTATTTACCCGAACCGCTAATAGAGGTCTGATAACTGGGAATTAGTGTTAGTTAACAGGATTGGGTAGTAGACTCTGGAAGGAGTGAAGTCTGTGTCCCTGTAGACATGTTTGCCCTTATCATAATGGGAAATTAATGTTGAGTCGGTGTGTAATTTCGTTAAAACAATGTTGGACTCCATAGTTTTCTCTGGACCCCTACCCAATGTGACCAGTGATGACATGTTTAGCCGCATGTCGTCATTCAACCGCTGATTGTCTTGGTGGTGCCCAGAAAATAACGTGGGCTTCATAGATAACTGGAAAACATTTTGGGGAAAACCTGGTCTGATTAGCAGAGACGGCATCCATCCCACTTTGGGTGGTGCGGCTCTCTTATCTAGAAATCTGGACGAGTTTGTTTTACAACCTAAATTATGACAACCCAGAGTTGAGTCCAGGATGCAGGGTCGCAGTCTTACACACCTCTCTGCTGTCTCTTTGCAGCTGCTACCCACCAAAAACCCCCAGTACCCCATAGAGACTATGTCTGCCCCCCCGACCGCCCAGATTATATAAATCAAAAATCAACTCGAGAGGAGTTATCCATAAGAACCTAATTAAAATTAAGACTACTCCTCTTATAGTGGAAAGTAATAGGACAATCAAATGTGGACTATTAAATATCAGATCTCTCTCATCTAAATCTCTGTTAGTGAATGATTTGATAAGTGAACATCACATTGACTTATTGTGTCTTACTGAAACATGGTTACAGCAGGAAGAATATGTCAGTCTAAATGAAGCCACTCCACCTAGTTACAGTAACTGTCACATCCCTCGAAACACAGGCCAAGGTGGAGGTGTGGCAGCGATCTTTGACTCAAGCTTAGTAGGCAACGTTAATATTCATGTAGATGCTGACAATGACAGCCTCAACAATGCATTCTGTTCATTATTAGACTCAGTTGGCTTTTCTCAAATTG